AAAATAAAATGAAACAGTTGAATGAATTAATACTTTTTACTTTTGATACTTAAGTTATATTTTAGAAATTACATTTAATCCACCCAATAATCATTATGTTTACAACAAGCTGTTAATGAGTACTCTGCAAGACAATATTTTTGGCAATATAAAAACTACAAAGGTTGGGTCAATCCAATCCACACCACAAAGAGTGAAACACTTTTTTTCAATTATAGTGTTGGCAGCAATCATCTTATGGGGATGCTTGCCGTTGGCAGGGAGTGGCAGTTTGTCAGGATTCAATAAATATAAAGGAGCAAAGCCCAGGTAAAGTTAACAGCCTCATTCCTTCTGAAACCGCTGGGCTAGTTTTTATTTTTCAGGCGAGACAATTACCAAATGTTTATTTGCCAGATGCCAAAATTGATTTCGTAGAGGTTGTCTCAGTCCTGACTTAATTTGCCTTAAAAAATCAGAACAATGCTTGAATTTGCAAATCCATCAATGATTTCCCACAAAATATATTGAGCTTTGAGCAAGTTTAACAAAACTGGATAATTAACCCAAGAGTTGTGTCAAATTGTAAAATCTTATTCACAGCTGTAATGGCTGCTAATGTGCTTTCCACAATATTACTCAATTATGATATTTCCTATTTGTTTTTTCTTTCTTAATTTTTGGTAAGTTTTATACCTTTTTCAACTTAGTTAATGTTAGTATATTGTGTATATCTTTTGGGAAAAATAATACAATTTTATTTGTTTCTGATTAAAATTTAAGACCGCGAAAATGGAAAAATATTAAAGGGTGTCCACGTCGTCGTTTGAACAGCCAGGCTCGCGTGATGAACAACTGTTTACCTTTATTATCTTTAGGATATAGAACACATCACCAGAAAAACAATAAACGCTCTTGAAGTCCAACGGTAACAATGACCACGAACAACGGACCAAAAACAAAACCCACACACACAAAGTGAACACAGAAGTTATATATGGCTCCCAATCAGAGACAACCAGCCCAACATCTGACACTTCGTTGCCTCTGATTGGGAGTCACTCATCAAACATAGAAAATGACAACTAGAACCCCCCACATAGAAATAACACATAGAAGACCACACCCTGGCTCAACAAATAGAGTCCCAGGCCAGGGTGTGACTTAACCCCCCCCTAAAGGCCGGACTGCGACCGCCTCCTAAATACGAGCAAAACGGGGGAGGGCTTGTGGGCATTCCTCCTCGGGCGGGCGGTTCTGTCGCCGGGCTTGCCCACCACCCTCAACACCCCCCATACCACCCCCTGGTCCGGTCTGCTCCGCTTGGCTGGAGCTGACTGGACGTGCATGAGCGTTAGGCTTTCCGCTCCTTAGTGGAGCATTGAAGGGTACCTGACTTGGCACCGATGACCCAGGCACGGGTTGTGTCCAAGACTGACTACGCGCACCCTGGCTTGGTGCTGGAATCCACTGGCCGGACCCGCTGACGATGCGCACCCTTGGCTTTTGTGCGTTTTGCAGCACGGGCCGGAGACCGTGCTGACGATGCCACCACCCGGGCTTGGTGCGTGGCCTAACGGGCCCTCACCGGACTTTTTGGTGGGGGGGGAAAAAAACAAAAAAAAGGGGGGAAAAAAACCCCCCGACCCCCCCTCTCACCTCTGGCTGGGTGCGGGGAGCCGGACGGTCTCACCGGATGAACGACTCGCACCCCTGGCTTGTCCGTGGATCCGGAACGGGGCCTCAACCGGACTGACTACTCGCATCCCTGGCTTGGTGCGAGACTCACCCATCACAACTGGCCTAACCGGAACTGACGACTCTCACACCACACCATGTCGAACCTTGGTGGCTAGTGGCAGACGGGTTGTGACCACAAACACACCAGCTGACGACAACTCCCCCCCCCGCCCACCGCCCCCCCAAAAACCCCCGTAGGCTTGGGCGATGGCAGGAACAGGCCTGGACCAGGCTGAAACCGTCCACCGTAAGGCCTTGGTTGCGGGGGGCAGGACCGGCTTGGACCAGGTCCTGACGACTTCTCACCGTATGTGGTGCGAGGGGCCGGACACAGGCTGGACCGGGCTGGCTACGCCAGCCCCGTGGCTTGGGTGCAGTGGCATGAACATTGCCTGGCGGGGCTGGTGACGCACACCGTAGGCCCTTGGTGTGAGGGGGCAGAAACAAAGCATGCCTGGGCCTGTTCTGTTCGCCGTGCACCTTACACTTAGTGCTGGAAGCTTGAACGGGCCCGGACTCTGGACTGGTGACGCACACCACTTGCTTTGTGTGATGAGCTGGAACTGGGTTTCGTCATAACCCCCCACTCCCATCAGCTGCCTACCGTTTCCTCTCGCATGCTCATTTCTCACCCTTTCCCCCTATCGCCGCCAAATGCTCCATCCTCTGCAACACTACCTCCCTCCTGCTTCCGCGTCGCCCTGCCGTGTGCCCCCCCCCCCTAAAACATTTTTTTGGGGTTGCCTCTCGCCTGTCCCGACGTTGACCCTGCTGAGCCCGCTGCTCCTCTCTTCCTCCGTCGCCTCTCTCCCCCGTCTCAATCCTGGGCCGGCGATCCATCCCCTGCCAGGAATTTCTCCCAGGTCCAGGACCTTCCCGTCCAATATCTCCTCCCATGTCCAGGGCTGCCTGTTTCCTGGACACGCTCTGCTCACTAGCTGCTCGGGGGTCCTGTACTGTGGGTTTTTTCTGTCACGAAACTTCAGGTAAGAGACCAATGCGCGCCGTGTTGAGAACTTGTAACTTTATTTAATAAAGCACTAACGAAAACAACAAACGACTCGTGAATTCCACGTAACAATGACTCTACACTGGAACACAACACACAAACACAAATTGAAACACCAGTTAAATATGGCTCCCCATCAGAGACCAACCAGCCCCCAGCTGACAACTCGTTGCCTCTGATTGGAGTTCCACTCAGTCAACCATAGAAATGAACGAACTGAAAACCCAACAGAACCCCCCAACATAGAAATAAACAAATAGAATGAACACACCCTGGCTCAACACATAGAGTTCCGCAGAGCCATGGTGTTGACAAAGGTGGCATTCAGGGCACAGGAGCAGTGGGCTGCCTATCTTTTATATCTATCATATCGATCACTTGCCTCAACAAATGCACTTTTTAACAATACTTTTCTCCTTCGTTGTTTTTAGGGAACCGCATGTTACATCCCCCTTTCGGGCCGTTGTACAAGATGCATTGTTTTTTTAAAAAAAAAACACTCCTAAGCATACATCGTGCGTATTTAATTCCCATTAGTCATCTTCACAAAGTCCTTGCAGAGCGCGCCACTACAAATGGGGAGAAAAAGATGGAGAAAGTGGTAGTCGTAAAGTTTGTCCGCAAGAAAAGAGATGTGAGTGATAGAAAGGAGTAGGGGGCTGGAAAGGGCGCGTGGGGGGATAAGAAGGAGTCCTCGTGGCACATAGACAAGATAATCTGCATTTTATGAATATCGTGAAAGAGCCTGAAACAACATAGTTTAAATATTATCCGTCCTGATAACTCATAAAGCAGAAGCATGTTTCAAGACATGATCATCGATTGTTTTCGAGATGTTAATAAACATGTTTTGTTTAGTTACTTTTTCTCACCTTGTTTCTCTAATTTTAATTTTCAAGTCAAACTAGCTTGCAGGGCACGATTCAGCTACTAGCTAACGGCTAGGTTGAAGGTACATTGTAGCTACAACCTCCACCTAACATTATAATCAGACAACATCATCACCATCACAATAAACTTCACGGGAAGGCACAGTCATAATATAATTGGCTTAAAAGCCATGTGTATTATTTACACTACTATTAAAAATCTACTTATAGAATGGGTACTTTGTTTCCAAGTTGCTAGCTATCTCATAAATCCATCACCGATAACCACATATTTTAATCTTCTCTGTATTGGTAACTTCCTGTTACTGGACTGAAGACGACCTAAAGTTAGAAAAATGCCAACGTATGCAGTGTCCGTCTCGCAACGGAACCTTGAACCACAAGGGGGCGTGGTGTTTTCACTCTGTGTGGAAGTCTCAATTGAAATGCATGACATCCAGCGCAACGACACGGCTTATGGGTAATGTGAACGAGGCTTAGTTCCTGTGAACGAGGCTTAAGTTCCATCGCTATTGATTACCGCTGGAATCCGTTGTAGCGAAACAATGTAAGCTTGTGAGACTTCCAGATGGTTGTACAACCTTAAGTAACCTATGCAGTGGCATGCAAAAAAAGGCCCTTTGCGTAGCCTCTTCTAGCCTTGGCGTTTATTCCCCTTTATTGGAGAATAGCTATACTACATGTTGTTTGGATATTGCTATACACATTTTTTTTTTATATTTGCAATACACACCTACGTATTTATTTGGACAGTGAAGCTAAGATGTTTAATTTGGCTCTATACTCCAGCATTTTGGATTTGAGATCAAACAAAACTGCGGCAACAGTACAGAATGTCACCTTTTATTTGAGGGTATTTTCATACATATCTGTTTTACCGTTTAGAAATTGTCATGGAAATTAACATCAGGGACACCTGAAGTCAATCTTAAATGAATCTTGTTCTCTTATATACTACTTACACAGACAAGTTATATTTGCATGATTAGCTTATTCATTATTCATAATTAATTCATCATTAACGTTTGGTTCATGCATGTGACCGACCAATAGCTGAGACCTTGAAACTGAGACATCCCTTTCGGTCATCAAAACAATGTTCTGGGCGTACGGACAAATTGTATACTGATAGTAAGGATTCCTCCCAGGCACGATCAATCAGTCCTTTGCATGAGCCCAGTCGAATTGGTATTAGAAAAGCTCTGTCACGGTTCAGACAGACGACCAG